TCAAGTGTGGCAGCGGTAGTGAGGTTGGCCCAGGATCAGACATTGTTTCCTTCTGCTGTGCATGGGGTCGCTATGAGTCGGTTCTGACTCGATGGCACCTGACAACAACAACAGGCCCCATAAATCATAAAATAAAAACCATGCCACATAGGGTCAGTGATTCATAAAGGTTACAAAAGCAGTAGGGAATGTCTACTTCACAACTAGTATGTAAGCAGCAAGATGGAATATTACTACTATCTCTGTAATACCTAAAGTAACCTCAGTCTCTGCTTGACTACCTTAATTTGCTTATATACTGCAAAGCATCTTCAAAGCAAAGTCGAAAAAGTCCCAAACTCCATTTTGAACTATATAGCAAAACAAAATATTCATAATTCTAGCTTTTTGTTCCCCCTGAAAGTAAAGAGGGAAAACAAGTAGCAAAGGCTCCTGCTGGCTACTTTTCAGAAAAATACACATTTGTGATTTCAACAATACTCACCCACATCTGTTCCCTCTTCAAAGACAGCCTTATTTTTAAGTTCAGGACCTGCAACATCTGTAAAAATTCCATCTTCATTCACTAAACAATCCTGCAAAGTCATTTTGAATAATTAAAGTATCAAGCTATTTTATCTTATTTATTGCTGTATCTGTCAAGACAACATATGAAAACACCTCAGAATAATCTAGTATTTCTCTACCTAGAAAATGTTGGCACCATTAAGTCAGTAGAAATTTGTCAGTTTGATACATTCAAATCCCCAAAAGCAAAGTATGTTTTTAAAGCATATAGCTAAAATCTAATATCAAAGTGTAAGAAAACACCATAAAACATGGTTATCTTGGTTTCTATTACTTTACAGATCTGGAGGAATGGACAATGGTGAGGTTGAGACTGGCCTTTAGCAATACTGAAAAATATGCTAAGTAACTGATCTGTGTAAATTAAATTTCAAGGAATTTGTTTAGTTTAAAAACATACAGAACTCTTCAGCTATTTAGTAAAATCTAGTTGCCATTTCTCACTAACTAAAAGAACTTGTCTAAATTACTTAATACAGTTTTTTTTTTTTAAATGCTCCATTTAATTACTATTCTTTAGTTCTAACTCTGAGTTGATTCTGTTCTAATTCTAGGAATTCTTTCTCAATTAGTATGGGTTAATGAGACTCCAGCATATTATACAAACCCAAACACTTCACAATTTAATAAGCAGAACAAAAATGATTGTATATTATATAATGAATAGAGATGTTCATTAAGATTTATCACTTTGATTCAATAAAATCAATTAATTAGAAAGATAAAAAGAGGACGAATACCATTGGCAGGTTGTGTTGAGAAGCTACACTGTAATCTTCCATACCATGAGCTGGGGCTGTGTGAACCAATCCAGTTCCTTTTGACATGGTCACATGACTTGCAGGTAAAAGAGGAGAAACTTTATCAGGAAATAAAGGATGAGTACAAGTACTGTTTTCCAAATCTGTACCTATAAGGAAATAAATACCACTGTTTAGTGCCTTTTTGCATGGCAATTCTTCGTATGACCTCTTTAAGAGGTGTAATAGGCAATAGGCAGAGACGATGACATGCAGAGATGGAGCAGCTGGGGACTCTAGATCCAGAGAGAGAGAGGCACTGTGTTCTGACAACCGGGAGGGGATGGGGGTCAGGCTTGTAGGATGTATCCTTTGGTTAGTTGATGATGCATGGAGGGGATTGTAACCATGGCAATGAAACGATATATGATAGGATGAATGCAAAACTTATGTTCTTCCATGTAAACTATCACATAATTCACAAGAAAACATTCTTAAAAAAATAAAATAAATTACTGTACTTGGTGTTTTCAAATAAATTACTGCACTTAGAGACCATAATAGTCATAAAATACCTTGGAAATATAGCTACAGAGTCGACTTTTGTTATATCTATAGGCATCCAATTAAAGTTGAATTATGCTGTTATTTTCACACAATCGCAAAGCTACACACTTCCCTAATTTCTATTTGTGTTTATAGTGAGTAAAATATATAATGCAATATGCTCGATTTGGCACCTGATGTATTAGATTATAAACTTTGCAGTATACCTGGTCATCTGCTTGTTTCTTTTCTATAAATGGCAGATTTCTTTGCAGCAAACAAAACTTAACATACTGATGAAAAATAAAATTTGGAGAGAGTTGGAAAAAAAAAAAAGTGTAGCAATAGAGCGCGAGGATTAAGAGTATAGATCTGAACTGGGCTCAAATCCTGGTTTCTCCTCTGATTTGCTCTGTGACCTTCAGGAGTCTATAAAATGGGTCCTACCTCAAAGAACTGTGTGAAGATAATATAAGTTAATGCATTTTAAAGTGTTCTGGGCACTTAGTTCAATACTTAACACCACAACAGATGCTTTATAGTATGAGCAATTAACAAAAGTGAGGAGCAAATAATTAAAGTGAGGAATTATTTCTCTAATGTATGTTACTGTTGTGAACTTCCGTCGAGTCGATTCCAACCCATAGTGACCCTATATAGGGTTTCCGAGGAGCAGCTGGTGAACTTAAACTGCTGACCTTGCAGTTCAAAAGGCTTTGCAGTTTGGAGCATTAATCCACAGCACCACACCAGCTATAATTACAGCCAGGAAAACCCTATGAAGCTCAGTTCTATTCTGTAACACATCGGGTTCACCATGCACCAAAGACCAACTCAATGGCTGCCAACAAAAATTATGATGTATGAATTGGAATATGAGAACAAAGAAATTCTAGATCAAACAGGTCAATGACCTGTAGGTTCCAATACTACTTCTGAGGGAACTTGTTACTTTTCATTGTTGTTCAAGAAACTGTTATACAACTTCTGGAATAGTATCTACCTTGTTAATGTAATATCATCTCACTATAATACCCAACTTATCTACAGTGTCAACCAATGAAAGAAAAGCAACAATCCGTGCCGCTCATCAACCACACCGCACACCAGACGGTCCGTCTAGAGACTTTTATTCAGAGTTAGGAAGAGGAAGGTGACCTCTGCCAGAGAGAGAAAGCAGAAGGCAGAAAGAAGGGGAGAAGAAGAAGATGAAGAGGAGGGGGCAGAAAGAAGAGGGAGGAGAAGAAGAAGAGAAGGGAGGCCAGAAAGAAGAAGAGGGAGGAGAAGAAGAAGAGAAGGGAGGCCAGAAAGAAGAAGAGGGAGAAGAAAAAGAGAGAAGGTAGAAAGGAGTGGTCTTATATAAGTTCAACAGGAAGGGAGTGGTCATTGCTAAGATGATTCAGCTATGGCCTATCAAAAGCCATGTTGCCCTTTAAACTACGCACCGTGTAGCTTAGGGCGGGGAAACAGAAGCCTAAGATGACAAAATGGAGTTGAAGGGAGGGGAGAGGGAAGATCCTGGAAGGTACATTTCCCCGTCTGATTAAACAAAAAAAAATGTATGACCATCTCTATGATCCATGCCCACGGGAAAAGGGACGACGGTCATTTTTCCGTAGGAAAAGGATCAAACATTCTGCAACTCTGTTCTTATCCTAGACATAAAAATCTTATTTATTACAATGCACATTCAAATAGTCCATGTCCTAGGCTACAAAATAAACCTCCATAAATTCACAGACATCAAAATACTACAAAGCATCTTCTCATACCAGAATGCTATCAAATTAAAAATCAACAATAGGAATACCAAGGAAATAAAGTCAAATACATGGAAACTGAATAACTACCTGCTGAAAAATGATTGGGTAGTAGAAGAAACAAAAAGTGAATTCACAAAGTTCCTGGAAACAAATGAGAATGAAAACACAACATACCATAATCTTTGGGGTATGGCAAAAGCAGTGCTGAGAGGACGGTTTATTACAATAAATGCACACATCCAAAATCAAAACATTAACACAACATCTTCAGCAACTATAAAGAGACCAGTAAAGTAAACCTACATTAAACAGAAGAAAGGAAATAATGAAGATTAGAGCAGAAATAAAAGATACAAAACAGAAAAACTACAGAAAGAATCAACAGGATAAGACACTGGTTCTTTGAAAGAATTAACAAAATTGACAAACCACTGGCAAACCTAAGCAAAGAAAAGAGGGAGAAGACACAAATAACACACATAAGAAATCACATGGGGAGAACAAACAAGGTGGCAGATCGGATGGAAGTTCAGTGCGGAGCTCCATCAGCAACAACACAGAATACCAGACCACACAGGTTCAGGTGATGGTCCCACAACTCTGAACCACATATAAAAGAATATTTAGAAGGTTGGAAGGCTTACAGCCAGTGGAATTTGTAGCAGAAGCAATAAATCCAGTACTTTCTATTCCAAGGTGCTCAGCTATTCCTGGACCCACCATCTTGGGCAAGATTGAGCTGGGTTAGAATCAGAATAGCCATGAACGCCTGACAGAAGCACAGAAATAAAGGTGTGGACATTCTTTTTTATGTATCTGTTCATTGGTCTCTCGCTGCCTGTGTACCTCCATTCTGGTGACCAGAGGAGGTGACTGAGTGAGTGGAAACCCCACCACCACCCCTGGGGGGTTCTAGTACACATACACACGGATTTCCTCAAAATTAAAGGTAAAGTTTCCACTTGAAACCAAACATCAGTGTAAAATGGCTACAGCCAGCCCTAAACTGTTTATCACTAGGAAAAGGGCCTGAATAGGGACTGAGGAGCAGGACAGGCAGACAAAAAAGGAAACAAAATGAAAATTAAATCCTCAGTTATGTCCTAATGACCAACAGTGGCATCTAGAAATTTCTCA